GGTCTGTGTTTCTAAGTTTCTGTTACTGCTCATCCGCATTTCACATGCAATTGATGAGTGGCTTTTGCTCCTTGGCCTTTTGTTTATTGATCTTTTCCTACTTGCGAATCCCCTTCTTCCTTGAATGAAATAGATTGGTCAATATCTTAATTGGGTGATTGGCTATAAAATTTTATCTACTTGGGTTTTTCTCTCATTAACTAAGAGTAATTGTAACTTTATGAAAATTGCTCTTGCAGGATGAGGAAATACTATAGTATTTTAGTCACTTATGGAATTATTGCCTGCTTTTATGCACAGGATTTGGTGTTTTCTGTTTGAAACCACTGAGGAAGAATATCAAACTCTTTCTTCATTCATAATATAGTCATAATAAATATTTCGTCATATACGACATTTCATTAATTATGATGTACCTATATTGTGTCTGTGTATATGTGTGCGTCTGTATTTTTTTTCCTATTTTTTTTCTTGGGAGCAGGGGAATGGTAGCTGTACTACTTTACAAACTAGTAGAAAATATATTAAAGGGGTGTATTTTGGATATAAAGAAACAATCACAATAATCAAATCTTGTACATTCGGATTTTGAAGCTTCATGCATCTTACTTCAACTTAGTTTTTCTCTATTTTCCGTTAATGGGAACGGATACATTAATTTACATTTATAGTTATGCTGAAGTCAGAAGTCATTTTATGGACTGGACATGTGTGCATACTCAACCTGCACATCTACAGGACTTGTTGAAAATGGGGGGAAAACCCCCCGCTCCAGTACTAATGCAAGACATTATCTTGAAGTCTTCCTTTCTTATTAATGGTCAAACTTAAATTCCCAAAGGAATCTCTTGGTACAACCGACAACGTGATCATTTGTAGTGACTCCACTAGCAGTTGTATCCTAGGACATGCTATATTTTCCTTTATAGTTCTACTTAACCTAAAAGATTTAGATTCCAAAGTAATCTTTCTAAAGTTTGACTTATAATTTATCCCTTTCAGATCTCTTAAAGTCAAAATTGTGTCACATGCAATTATTAGATATGAAGAGACCTCATCTTGTCTTGTAACTTCACACGCAAAACCTAGATACAAGAAAATAAGAAATTATCTACTATTCAAACCTGCAATTGTGCTATTTTACACAACAATAATATTTTTTTGGGGAGTTTGGTAGATTCATTTATAGAATCATAAAAATTATTTGATAATTTTTAGTAAAAATCTGAGTATTTTTTTTATTGTAAAGTACCCATTTTGGTACACAGGGTAGGTTGATAACCAACAGTGGAAGGCATTCTACCCAATAAGATCCATACTTCGGTTCCTGCGTGGACGAAATGGAAAATATTGTCAATAAATAGAAGTACATCTTATTCATTAACATCACGAAAATATTCCTCCATAGATACGGCTGTCAAACCAACTCTCATAAAAACTCCAAGCAGTTCATTCATGTGGCTGTAAACTAGGGAAACTTTTGATTCTGCAATATTTTCTNGTAGCTGGATCTTGGTCGGTCAAATCGTCTGCAGGTACATAATCTGCTTTAATAGAAGTTATGGAGCCTTCTTTGGTAGAAGTTATTCTTTCTTGTAGAGTACCCATTTCGGTACTCAGGGTAGGTTGATACCCGACAGCGGAAGGCATTCTACTCAATAAGGTCGATACTTCGGATCCTGCTTGGATTAAATGGAAGATATTGTCGATAAATAGAAGTACATCTTGTTAATTAACATCTCGAAAATATTCTGCCATAGTTAGGGTAGTCAAATCAACTCTCATACGAGCTCCAGACGGTTCATTCATCTAGCCGTAAACTAGTGCCATTTTTTATTCTGTAATATTTTCTTCATTAATCACTCCAAATTCTTTCATTTCCATGTATAGATAATTTCCTTCACGAGTACATTCACCCACTCCGCCAGATACGAATACGCCCCCATGGACTTTGGCAATATTATTAATCAATTCCATAATGAGTACCGTTTTACCAACTCCAGCTCCACCAAATAATCCGATTTTTCCCCCACGGTGATAAGGGGCTAAAGGATCTACTACTTTGATTCATGTTTCAAAATAGATAATTTTGTATCTAACTGTATAAAAGCAGGTGTAGATTTATGAATAGGAGATGTTGTACAAGTATCTACACGACCTAAATGATCAATAGTAACACTTCCATGAGCACTCTGTCTCTATCATAAGCTTTTTCTAAGCCCATAAAAATTATATGCTATTGCTGTTTTTTGTGGTACTTCTCCACCAATCTCTAAAGTATGTAAATGACTTCCATAGTGTAGTTCTCCCTTGATGAACCAATCTAGTCATTTCAGACCTTTGAACTACGTCTCCCAATTTTTGGGAGCACAAAGGCACTATAACACTTCATTCATTCATGTAGCATCTTTTTACTCTTTAAAATATCGCTGAATAAGTACCTCACATGACTAGTTGGTTTTCTAATCTTCATCCCCTTTATAGAAATCATAGGGATAGAGTGATTCAATAAAATCAGATGATTCTTTTGCACCTGGCATAAAATTATTGGAAATGTTATCCTAAATGTTATGTGTCTAAAGAGAATTAATAGATGTTCTAACTTGGTAGTGTCTATCACCTACCTGCTCAAATAATTTTACACTCCCAAGTTCCAACCAAGTTGAATTAGCTATTCTGACTGTGTTTGTACCTGTCGTGTCAGAGAGAAATATGCTGGCTGCTTCCTTCCTCTCAAGGTGATCACAAGGGTGTAAGTTCATCCTACTATTGTCTTTTCTTTTTTCTGATGCATGGCAGCATGTGGCATAGCACAATGGTGCAAGTAAATCCTCTTATTTTTTATTACTGAAAACTTTGATTGAGCAAGCTCCAAAGAGTACTTGAGTCGAACATATTTGTCCACGTCTAATCTACTCTTGTCCATTTTATTTTTAAAATCTAGGAACCAAATCCATCTTTCTATGTAGAAAACAGACATTAGGTCCAGAAACTAGCTCTCTTTTTTTCTTATTGACCCTGCACTAGAGCAGTACGCCAGTACCTGTAGAAAATAAAGTACAATTAGTTCATGTGAGAAAATGGTAATATCAATTTCCAGTCTTTGTTTTCCTTCCGGATGGGAAGGATCCAAGTTAATAGTAAACTGCAAATTTACAAACATTTCATTTTTTAATGTCATCACGATTCATGTGAGCTGCCGCTGAAAGTAGAAAGCATTATTTTCTCTTTGACATCAACAATTGCTCAACTGTCATATGGACTAATATTGCAGATTGATGTAATCAACATTACATGGTTTTACCATTGAAGAGCTTATTCTAAGTGCAATATTATCATAGGGGTGTCTTTCATAATGATTGAGACTTATATTGTAGTGATTATATATTTTTACGCATTTTACAGTTTCAAGATTTCATTGCATACCTGAAGCAACGAGAATGTGTAGGGGTAATCAAAATCCTAGCTGCAGAGTCCGTCTGGGGTAGACTACTGTTCATTCTTCCATACTCACCTGATACATGTTCCATGCTATCTATTCCCCCAAATCCTTCGCTTTGCTTAATCGGGTTGGTATTGCCCAAGGAAATGAACTCTGAAGCAGTATGATCCGCACACTCTATTGGAATAATGGACGGTTTAAAAAGTATGATTTATCCATAATCCTCCAAGATCGGCGATGGCATATGAAAATGTTGTGCCTCTTTTTTTGGTAGAAATGAAGCGTTGTTGTGGAACTGATCACCAGCGACAGCAGTTGTGCTGCAGGGAGGACAATTTTAATTACAATTCTCAAATTTCATTTGGAGCTCATTGATGTGCTATTAGGGAAGATTCACAATCATGTGGAAATCCTTTTATTGCTATAGTTTGCAGGGTGAAGAAAAAGAATGTTGGTTTTTCTCTTTTGTCAGCCCTTGATTCTATTCTAGTAATTGGTGGTGAGTTAAACTGAGTTCCCTCACTCACACACACACACACACATTAATCAACTAGTAAGGATCTGATTTATTGAATGACCTTGAGAGTTCTTGATTTGAAGATGTGTGAAAGCAATCCTCTTCTAAATGAATTTGACGCGGTTCTTCTCCAATCTTGCTCAGATGTTGGTTAGGTGGCAGGAATTAATGCAGTTTGGGATTTGATGTGATTCTAATAATATACATGTGGATAGAAAATAATTTACGGGCATCATTGTCTTTATTTAGAAATCATCACTCCTACTCGAGTCGATAAACTGTTCGCTCATCGTCAGACAAGCGACAAATATCCTGTTTAAAGCACTATATTCCTAGCAATCTCGAAAGTAGGTGCGATATGGTTTCCATCTCCAGTGTTTCTAGTTGATCCTTGATATAAAATTTTGACATGCTTTGCAACTGCATTAAGTTGTTTGGAGATGTTATCCCAACTTAAATCCTTGTATCTCTACGAGGAGAATATACAGAGCCTAGGAATTACTGTAGCCACTTTACCTAGTATGTACAATTTTCTCATCAAGGAGTTGACAATAGAAGATTGCTTCCCACTCCCTAAAAATGCCTACTATAATTCTATCTACATTTTGCCAAAACCGGATTTTGATCACTTCATCAACTCATGTTCCATGACTCCTGGGAATGTAAGAGTGCATGAATGGAACACTTTGAAATACATAGCGTATCAAAAACAAAATGAGTAATGTTATTCATCTTCAAGAGGGTTACAAACAGAATCTAGATGGCTCTAAACAACATTAAATGATATATGAAATTAAACATAGACTGTGTTTATAACCCCAACGTAATAGCATTACTCAAACAAAATTGCAATAATATTTCGAACGTTCACGTCAGCACACCATGATTCTAGGTTCATTTTGATTTCTGGGTTTTACTTTTGTGCCCTTGAACCTTTTTGTATACCAGAATTAAAATTAGGGAAAGAGATTAATTATGATCCATTTCAAAAATAAGAAACAAGGTTTAAAATTTCAAAAATAAGAAAATAATAAATTTTATTTATGAAATAGTTAATTAAAAATACAGTTTATTAATTAAATATATTAATGTCATAATTTTATACAATTTGGTCACAAATCAAAAATTTNAATTATTCTACGGTCACGATTCAAAAATTTTATAGGTCACAATTTGTTCATCAGTCACAAATAAAAAATTGAAATGTCACAAATTATTTTACGGTCACAATTCAAAAATTTTATATGTCACAATTTGTTCATCGATTACAAATCAAAAATTTATAAGTCACAATTCACAAATTTGTAAGTCGTAACTCAAAATTTTAAGTCACGTGATTTATTGGTCACAATTTATAAATTACATGTTATTTATTGATCACAATATCAAATAATTGGTCACACACTCTTACTTCCACCATCTACTCCACCCATCCAGCAAAATAGTACGAATCGTACTGCTATGAATGCAAAAATTGTGAATGCAAGAAAAGCCTAATGCAACCCCGAATTTATTATCATGTATCCAAATTCAACCCCTCTTCATAAATTTCTCCAAGAATAGATGACGAGACATATGCATACATGATATAATGTGTTCCCAATAAGAATCTAAGGGATTAAAATTAGGAGAAGGCCTGATTTTTTCTTGAAAACCATCATGTTGTCATTCGTAGAGATAAAACCACCAACAAAACCACCACCATCGCCACCAACAAGATCCAACAAACTCGCCACCTACAAAACCATTGCCACTACCAGATCCAACAAAACCACCATCACGGAAACACCACCAACAAATCGGATTCACAACCGCCATCACTAGAACCAGAACATTGCTGGTTGTGTGCGATCGCATCAACGGCATCGTGCACAACGCTCACCTCCGAAGTAACATAAAAAGAGGGATTAGCATTATTGGCCCAATGATAAACCACTAAGACCTTCGTTGGGCTCTGAACATTGAGAAAACACTCTAGCAATGACTTGTACAATCTGTTAAAAGGCCCTAGCCAAGTGGAAAAACAACTTAATCGGCATATGGTAGACAAAAGACCATAGTACAATACCTTTGAAATACCACCTAGAGAAAGCACGATGTTTGAATTATGCATCCACAATTTCTTCAAACTTAGCAGCAGAAGGGGCAACCATAAACAAACACAACCAACACATTTGACTACCCTAATGCCCTCAAGGCCAAATGTGCTTCTAAATCACAACTAAGATCCCTGCATCATAAATAGAAACTCAAACATTCGTCATCATCATAAAGTCACATACCATAAGTTTAGGTAAGGGCAACCATAAAAACCCACATACTCGAGAGATATTGTTGAGAAACTTGATATTGCATAGGGAATATATGTAGGAGATATTACACCGATAATGTCCAT